AGGTAAAAATATAAAAAGCCACAGTAATAAACCTCATAAAAACAAAAGCACTAACCAATAGGCAAAGATTGAAAATCTTAGCAATGGAGCCATCAAGACAAATCTCTGGTTCCTGGGAGCCCCAGACCTAGCAGCGTAACCAGTTTTTTGAAAAATCAAAAGAGACAGAACATGTCTAGTTTTCACAGCAAAGAAGGGACGTCTTCTGGGACCCACCAAATTTAGGTTCCCTAACTGATCGTACCCATAGCATGCCTTCTTTGTGGGCAGAAGTTTCAGATTCTAACTCTTGGATTAGTAGTTACTCAGTTCCTAGCTCTCCATGTCTCCAGACCTTGCAATTATTTGTTTTCCTGCCCTCCAGATTGCCTGATTTTGGAATTTCATTCCCTAAGAGAAGCTGGGAGAAACATATATATAGTAGTTGCCAGCCATCCAGCCATTCAACAGTTTCCCAGTAGATAAACCAAGACATCCTAAGTCAGGGGTTCTCAACCTTGTCAACTTTAAAACTTGTGGACTTCAATTCCCAGAATTCCTCAGCCAGCTTTGCTGGCTGAGGAATTCTGGGAGTTGAAGTCCACAAGTCTTAAAGTTGACAAGGTTGAGAACCCCTGTCCTAAGTCAACATCAATATGCTCACTTGGGCTTGGGAACTAAGTAGGAACAGTGATCACTAGAGAACTTCAGAACTGGAGGCAAAACCATGAAGTTGAGAAAGATCCCTACCATCGCAAGAAAACTACAAGGATGTGTTTAAGAAGACAAGAGCTGTTGAGCTCAACTTAATGAAGACTCAACTCTAAGACTTTTCATAGGCACTAGCCTTTTCAAGGCTACTTGAAGCATGAACCTTCCCACTTCTGAGTAGTTTCCTTATAATAAACTGTATTTTTTAACTGAAATCAATTTTTAGTCTCTGCCATTCTGATTGGAAAAGAATGGTTTATAATGCATTTGTATATATAGCAACCGACCTTATAATTGACAACCAAGACATCAAAATATTGAATAGCGTTTGCCTTTAGAATCATGTAAAACTAAAGGAACCATCAGTTTTTTAAAAAAAACACAGATCAGCATTTGGCAGAATCATGATAAAGATCTTGAAAAAGATATTCACATGCTGGGATGTGTTTATACTTACAAAGATCAGAATCATGCATTTTACTTTTCCTGTGAAATTCTATGAAGTTGTAAATTAGAGTTTGAAACAGTAAAATAGAAAGAATGCTGATTTCTTTTAGTGTTGAAGAAAACTCTTGAAACCAAGAAAATATATCATAGCACAAATCAATTCAGAGTTGTCATTTGACACTCAATGACCAGGCTCAAATTATCATATGTTTGATACATTATGCAAAGGCACAGAAGTTTATAATGCCAAGAAGGGTGGCTTTAAAAATAAAAGGCATGGCAAGCAATAAGGTGATGGATTCCATGTTGGATGATCTAATATGCTGGAAAAAATCCATGTCATCACTAAGAGTCAGCATTGACTTATTGGCACATAATCAATATAGCATAAGTCTTCTGGCAAATGTGTATGCATATAAATGTGTGAGAAAGGGAAGGAAGGATGCTGGTTCCGCATGTAATAACAACAAATATTTTGTTTAAACCACATTCTGTTAAATAATTCACAGCTGAGTTATAATTCTGTGTTACAAATTATACCTGATAAGTTACAAGAGTTATATAAAGTTTAAACAAAAACCAAACAAGCCAAATTATTGGCTTATTACAATGGATTAATTCAGTCAGTACACATATATATATAATATGAATGAATGAATATGGTAAATTGGATTATAATATTTGATTGAAATTGTATATAATTTACTGCTTTTTATTATCTTGTCTACTTTTCTTGTGTGATTTGGAGTGACAAATTTTTACTCATTGGTATTGACAAACATGTAAGTGGATGGATGGATAGATGCATCGTAATGTGCAATAAAATGAAATATAAGAAGATTTGAATGTTCTGTGTTCCAATAGAATGAGATTTAGAAATATTTTAAGAGCTCTTATTGGGTATTTAAAATTAATGGAGCAATAGGTGATAAGTATCTGCTGTGTATTAGCCAACACACATACAGATACAAAATCGGCTAAGGGGATAATTAACTTAAAGAATAATTCTTTTACAAATCTCCTAGCAAACAGTGGAAGCAGCCATTAAAGATGGTTTCTGAAACTTCTGCTTGCAGAAAAAGCAATAAAACTGAATTTAGCACAGATGTCAATAGCAACAGATTAATTTCAACAAATCTTATGAATAGTAAAAATATATAAATGGCAATTGGTTTGGGACTTTTTTTTTTTTTGCTTAAACAAATAAAGCAACGTTGAAAACAAGGGTTCATGAACATCAACCAGCAGTTAAAATGGCATGACCACAAATCCCTGAGCCCCAAACCATATTGATAATAAAAAACACCAGTTCGATTGGGAAGGAGCAAAAATCATTGGGCATGCCAACACCTGCCACACACAGGAATTTATTGAGTCCTGGCATTCCACCAAAGGAACAATTAACAAGCATATTTATCTAGATCCAGTATATGAATACGTAAGCAAGCAGACCATTTGAATGATCAATCAACAAGAGAACCAGTCAGCTGCTCAGAATTTAAATATAGCTCCAAATGAACAACCAATCGCACGACCACACTGGGACACAAGATTTTTATAAGCTAAGGAGAATAGACAGGAAAATCCTGCTGATGATATTACCTAGACTGATAACAAAACATTCAGAAAATAAATTGAAATAAGCTTGGAGAGCAAAACCACTGCCAAAATCTTAAACCTGAGCTACAAGTATTTTCTATTATTTCAAAGCAACATAGTTTTTATATTTAGCAACTTGAATGAGCAACAGCAATACTATTTGTAAGGCCACATGCAATGCACTCTTTTGCATTTGTCAATCTGCCTGCAAAACACATTGTATTTTCTATGTCTGGCAATCTGCCAGAATAAAGCAAAACACGAACAGAAAACAAATAGTGACCACAATGTAATAATACAGAACATGAGTTCACATGATTTATCCCATGTCATGTATGTACAGGGCTTCCAAACCTTATGCAATAAACAGGCTTCTTGCATGTCTTCTGTCTTTTCTATTTGACCTAGTTCATACATGTTAATCAAATCCCACAGAATATTTGTGGCACAAGTATGATTCTCAGGTGTTATGTTATTCTCTTATGGGCAGACACCAACAAAGCTTTTCCAGAGCTTTTTCCATTATCTAAAGCAAAGTCAATCTGAACCTCTGATTGGTCAGTCTGAATGATTCCTGAATAAGGCCAATGAAAAACAGTAATTCTTTCTCAATTATGTTCTTCCTCCCACTCAATATTGCTACTGTCGAGATGGTTGAGAAAAAAGCAAAAGAACTATAAATGGGGGGGGGGAAGAGAACTAATATGTGGGTGGTAATAAAAAAAGGTGATATTGTGTGTTGTAAAACATGTGATCTTGAAGCTATTTTAGACGGTAAAGCTGAGACAGGAAAGCACATGCCACTAAAAGGAAAAAACCATATCAAAATACTGCAAAAAAAGATCAAGCAAGCGTTTATGTACTACAGCACTCCACATCCTGGAGTCCTCAATGTATATTGATACTAAAAGTTTCAGAATTCTCATCCAGAAGGGGTTCTGCCTAGGATGCTTGAACAGTTCTGGGCATATTTGGAGCAGCCAGGGACAGTTATGACATATTTCAGAAACTGGAATTCTACAGAGGGCTGCATTTGGAGCAGAAGATTATTTATATTCCCTAAATGTACCGAAACAACCTCAATAAATTGTTGTGTGAATTTGCAAAGATCCCATAGCAATAATTTAGGTTAAAAAAAAATGCACGTAGCAGAACTTCAGTATAACTACACCACTTATGAAGCAATTAAACAAGGACAATAATAATGTCAGAATGATTTAATTTTTTTTTAAAAAGCCATTAAGCCTATGAGTCAAAATATCAGTGGATAATGCCATTTACATATTCATACCAATTGCCTCCCACAGAAGACAAGAATGAATGTTTTTTGCTTGATAACAATTAAATTTTAGACATGCATTCTTACATGTTTTACGTGTTGTTCCCTTTTGGGGTAATAAGCGGTATTATACATAGCAGAGAAGAAAGAAGTAGTAAACAAAATATATTAAACAAAGTGGATAAGAAAAGGAAGCATAGCTAAATCGAGCTTATACCAACACAGTTGATTGTTCTCCATGCATTTCTATCCTTCCCTGATGTGAAAAGTAAAAAAAAAAATATTGTGAAAGTTTTAGATGTTCCTGACATTTCTTGTAATATAATTGAAATTGGAACTTTATGGCCAGCTTTATACAAGGAAGAAAAAGGGATACTCTACTTGGCTATAAAAATGTGAAGTTATTTTTTGCACCTTATCATTATTTCTATTTTTTTTTACTCTAATAAATGTTAGACAATGATAATGGCATCAATGGCATCTAAGTCCACTGCTTTAAAAGTCCCATAGTAATTTGTACAAAAAGGTGTCCATGACTTATTCTTACTGACTTGAATAAAATCTGAATACAACTCAACTTAGATTCTACCCAAGTTCTTTATTTTAGGTATACTTATTTATAAATAAATAAACTCAGTCTGGAGTCTGACCAAGTTATTTAGATTAGAAAAGGTTTTATTAGTTGTATCTATTTCTCATGTAGATTCCAATAATATTTCCTTTTGGGGCCAACATTTGCTGTATCTTTCAGAAATAGTTTTCTGCCCCTCATCTCTACATCTTCATTGAAAGGAAATTAATATTATCTGATCCAAGGCAAGACAATTTGAGTGGGGGAGGGAAGCATCTAGAGAACATGAGCAGAACTTGTGTTCATGGAATTAGTTTTCTTTTTAATTGGATTGCGATGGGTTTCTTTTCCACATATTTAGCATCAAATTACTGATGACAGAATCAGATTTTAAAACAGATGTGATTTACTTACGGAACTTTTAGCTGTGGAAACTTCTGAAAATCATTTTCAGACATGTTCTGAAACAAAAATACAGAATGCTATAATTAAGCATGTGACATAGTTTTGGTTACTTATTATAAAATAAAAATAGAATTGCAATGGTCACATGAGAGTGATATTTGCTTAAATTTAACTTGTAACACATGTTGTTTCCGCATCCCTTTATCTTCTTCCCTAAGTATTCACCAATACCTCTTTGTTTTTATTAGCTTACTTACTATCCATCAGTAACAGTTGATTGATTAACTGATTGCCTAGCCAAAGAAGTTAAATCTTTTGACATATCTTTCTGAAAATTTGCAACCAGATTTAAATGGTGTTCCTGAACTTTCTAGACAATTGGATTAAATAATCCTTATGTCCATTTCCAACTTTATATTCTGTAAGTCTATAAAAGTATTGAAAAACTTACCAGAAATCTTTGTCCAGTTATGTTAAGTTTCCGAACAACTTTTTCGCAGTCCTTGAAGTTTAACTGCAAATGAAAATAAACATGGTTAATGATAAATCATTGTTATCCTCCATCCTCTACTCATACTTTTGGGAAGTAAATACCATCAAATTCAGACATTATGCACAATTTTACACTCTTAAGCTTGTACTGTTAATAATTACAAGCATATCTGAAACCAGATTTAAAATGTCTGAATAAAGCATAATTGATACATGGCTGCAAATTAGATGTGCTTCTTCAGAAATAACAATAACCTCACTGGAAGTTATGACTGCATATTTTTTTCCATAATGTTAGTAGTCAGACAGTAGGCTGTTTCATCATCGTGGCTGTTTCATCATCGTGAACTGAAAGGCTAAAGACACAATTTGTCAAAGCTTTCAAATACTGATCTAACCTGATAAGAAGTTTTTTATTTAAAAAAATAAACCTTAATTGCAGAAGAGATCATGTAAATTTAGTTCAAATATCATAACTATTCACAGTGAGAAGAGTGCTATGTGATTTTTTTCTTTTCTTTTTTGCTGCTTAAGTAGCAGTTCAGAGAAACACATCTTCTGTACAGCTTCATAATTTGTACAGTTACACAACTTATTTAGCCTTACAAAATCCCTATTAATATATTTGCTTTTCTATTTGATTGATTTATTTTCTTTTAAAAGAGCAGGTTGAAGGGGGCTTTTCCCCAACTTTGGCTAATGTTCAGTCAAAATGTTCCAACAAAGATAACTTGCACCAACATCAGTACACATCTGGATTACTGCGAGGTATTCTATCTGGCTCTGCCTTTGGAGACAACTCACAGCTGGTATAGAATGCAACAGCTAAACTCCTGGCAGAGCCAGCTTGCTACTGCAGAGTTATTAAAATATCACTTATAAAGCTGCAAATGGCATAACATATCCATATATATCAGGAACCACCTTGCCAAAATAAGTCTACCCATCATTTCTGAATATCTAGTGAGGGCTTGCTGAGGTTCCTATCCTCTTATGAGGTACATCCAATGTGGGTCAGGAAGCAGTTTTTTTTCAATACACTCTCTCAAGCAGGGGTGCCATCCCGTGGGCTGGAAGTGTCATCAGGAAACCACATCCACCCCATTGCCAACAATGGCGAAAAAGCTCCGATACATTGTGCGATGTCACATGATGTCGCGAGTTTGACATGCCTGTTCTAAAGCAATATTTTTCAAACTCAGCAACTTTAAGATGTGTAGACTTCAACTCCCAGAAGTCCTTAGCTAGCATTTGGCCCCATCCTTCCTGGTTCTCCCTAAGGCAATTGAAAACTGTCCTATTCTAACATGCCTTTGACTTTGAATAATAGTGAGATTCATTATATTAGTATACTAATTCATATTCTGTATAGTTTTAGTTTGTGTTGTTTTGTTTGCCTTGCTGTACACTATTCAGAATTTGATTACAAAAATGTACAAATATTGATAATATTTTTAATGGTTTCTCCTGTGTATAGCCATTATCTGACCACCCAAAAGCAAATCTGAGTGCAGAACAATCTCATTAGGCCTTTGCTAGTGACTGTGATTTCAAGCTGAGGAGGTGTGTCACACTACATAGGAAACATAATTCTTCTCAGCGAACTGAAGAAGTAACTAAGGTAGTTATTTCTTTATATTGTCTTAATATTTTCTCCAGGAGTGCCAAGAGCAAACAGAGGGTTTTGCACATGCATCAAGAGATTGATATTCATCCACAAAAATTTCTTCCAACAGTGGAAACTGCTGGATGATGGTTTGAATTGAAACAATGTAGCTACTTAAGCTTAGTTAAGAAAGGGCTTCTCACAAATCGTGCTGGAAAAAAAATCCCTCTTAAACTTTGAAGAGCTTTTGTTCTCATTATGGTAACTGAGTATGTTAAGACTTAAGCTCAGACAAACTGTATATGTGGTAAACCAAGACATAGAAACGATGTTCTGTTTTTTTCTAAATTTAAGCTCAGTTTTCAATGAATTCAGTAAATTTATTGCAGGTTACGTTACAATCATTACAGTGAACAGTGAATTCATTAAAGATTCTTGACTGACTGAAATCTCTCTCTTCTTGAACCAAAACACAGAGCATCTCATTCATATCCTTCCTGAGATTGTTTCCAGCAGCATAAGTATTAGCCGAGGGATAAAATGGATCCCTGCTTAGACATCATAAATGCATACAATAATTCTCAATACAAAATCAGAGTCCTGCCCTCTAGCAAGACAGTAGCTAAAACATACGGTAACAGCAATACCACTTAAACTTACAGCATGTACTGCTCCATAGTGCTTTACAGCACTTTACAATAAGTATAACACTCACACAATCTCATGGCCTAGAAAGGTTTTTGTGTTCTCAATGCTATTATAAAAATAATAGACTAACAGAAGTCCCCCCACGACACAAGTCACAACAGGACCAATACAGGTATGGCATAGGTCAATCAAGCAGTTTATCTTTCAAAATTATTTTAGAAACTAATTGGGAAAAATACAAAAATAATAAATATCTTGATATTCCTAAAGAATATTATTTAGGAATCAAGTAATGTTGATACTACCCATCAAAGGGTCTTGTCTATGACTGGTAAATTTGACACAGGCTGGTAGTCCAAAACAATTAGACCAAAGAGAGCTTTTATATTTTAATTTGAGGCAATAAGAAAATCTGTCAGGATTAGGCACAAGAAGTGACTGACCTTGTCTGTAAGGACTGAGCATGTTGCTTAAGGTGAAAACTACTGATAGGATCAAAAAAAGAACATCTAAGGAAACTACTCCATTACAGTTACTCAAGAGGTGGTCTAGTATTAGAGAAGAAAAGACTAAGATGGGCTTCCAGCAACTTTTCACATTGCTGATTGCACGATTGATCACTAAGTTGAAAATGTGGCAAATAAAGCTGCAGGAAGTCCAAAAGCTGAATAGGACTTTGCAAAGCAACCTATTGGTGATCAGTTCAGTTCAGAGTTTTCTAATGCATTAAACATCAATGTACTGAAAAGGCCAGTCCCTAATTTGGCCTGATGCTAAATGTGTCCCTGTAGCATGGATGGCATTGGTGCAACCCACATTCAAAAATATTTGAACTACAAGATTTGCACCTCACAACAAGCAACTTCTCTATTTCTAGCAATCCACTCTGCTAAAAAGTAGAGCATGTATCCACAGAAATAAATTCCTTATATTAGTCCATCTGGGAGACAAGGCTTCCAATCATTCCAACTAGGAAAAGAGTGAGAATCCGGATGAACAAAATTATACATGCAGAAAGGATTCCACCTAGGCAGAGCCATTTGGAGTAATTGGCCCAAGGGACACAAGAAGAAGATTTTAGTTTATGAAGTGCAAGACAGTGTTGTCGCAAAAGAAGTGCACAATGGGGCTTTAAAAAATGTTGCAATAGAGCACAAGAAATAAAATAGTCGAATGCCTGTTTTGGTTTTGGAATCACATTTACAGTATTTACTGATAGAAAGATAAAGCTCTTTCCTCAGATAATTATTTACAAATTCAGGAAGGGAAGGTGTTGAGATCATCCTACATTCTGCTGAAGACAATACTGTAGATTGTACAAGAATCTGTTCCAAACGAAGGAATGGCCAAGTGCAGATGACAACAGAGTTTATCTCGGAAAAACTGGAGGCCTCGAAAATTAGCAAATCACCAGCTGCTCACTTGATTAAGTTAACGTTAGTAAACAGCGATACAAGGCTTCCTTCCTTCATCCATTTTTCTCTTCCCATCCCAGCAGAGATAACCTTTCTCCATCCTATCCTGCCTTCCTTCCTGTTCCTTCCTTTTTATTATTTCTTTTGGAAGAGAGTATAAGACTATGTGTGTTTGTATGTGGTGTGTGTGTATTTGTGTGTGTGTGTGTGTGTGCGCGCACTTTTGTGCTTCTGTGTGAGACAGAAATTTGTATACACGGAAGGGCTGGCAGACTGAGGATCAATTAGTTTTATAAATATGGTATTTTACTATATAGGCAATTAATTTTAATTTATATCATATGTATATATTAATTCAATGTACTAGCCTTTGCATGGCAGTTATAGATACTCACATATATGTATCCACCTAGATAAGGGTTTGTGTACAAATGTTTATTGTACGTTCCTTTATGAAGGAGAAATCTTCAGCTGGAATGGTCAAGTTGGAGAAATCTGGTACTGTGTAAGATTTTTGTCTTTGTTATCTATTTCTTTCTCATTTCTTTCTTTCTATTTATATAGCCACACATGTCAAATACATGTCTTTGAGTAGCTTACAGCCATTTTTTTTTATTCCTATTTTAAAAACAACACTACTTTCATCTGAATCCTGGGTGTATTTTGGATACAGTGACCAGATGCCCTTTATTACAAAGGACCATCCTTTATTTCAGAAAGCTGAGTTTTAGATTTGGGTTTTTTTATTTTTTTGATCTTGCTCTTAGACTGTCTTTGTAAGGCAAAATTATAAATATATACAATTGATTTTTTTTATCCTTATAAATCTCTTTCAGATTTGTGCCCTTTTTAGATTTGTCCTTCATTTATTCCCAAAAAATATGGTTAGTATAATTTTGGAGGAAGCTAGTGGAATGAATGTTACATTTGAAAGTTTCCAAGTTCAGCCCCCACCACCTCCAGTTAAAGAAACAGGTAAGGGCTGAAAAGGAAGACAAGCGCTATTAAGATCACTATTAATACTGTAAACCAGTATTTCCCAAACTTGACAATTTTAAGGCATGAGGACTTCAACTCCCAGAATTCCACAGCCAGCTGAAGTCCTCATGCCTTAAAATTGTCAAGTTTGGGAAACACTGCTGTAAACTCATGCTGTAATGGAAAACCATTAGTGAAAGTGAAAGAACTTTGGCTTTTAAGATGCAAAGGGTATGAAAATCAAGCTCTTTCAGCAAGCCCAGTATAATGTGGCTTTGTGCAATATTTTGTGTGCAATATTTTGTGCAAAACCTGATTGTGCAAAGCCTGGTTGTCTGCTGAGATTTGTCATAAAAAGAGTATAGTCCACAGCTCTGTAAAGGCAATGCAAGAAGGGTATACTAAAGCAATTAGTAAAAAAAAAAAAAAAAAGACAAGAAATCCTTCCTCAAGTTTGACAAATTGCTTAATCTGTACATTCATTTGAACTACACAGAGTTGTAGTCTATTGCTGGGCCACTGCAAAGTTGTCACTGGAACTTGATTTATTCTTGACTGTTGCCTGAGGGTATAATAAAGCTGAAAGAGACTAATTGAATCTGTCAAAGCTAGAAGACCTGTAAGTCCAAGGTAGTGTAATTGTCAGTGTTCCTGCTGTCTCCACTCTTCTCTAATGAAGTCTGCCACTTGGTTTAACTTCTCTTTGACTGCTAACATGATATTCATCTGCGGAAGCACATTGCTATGAGTTGTAGGAAAAATAAATTAAGTTGTCATAGTCACATAGTGCAGTCAAGGCAGGAAGCACTGTGTCTCCTGAAAACTTCATCAAGCTGAGCCTGAACTATTGGCCCTAATACTTTCGTGGCTACTATTTGGGGTATCTATGTAGCATCTCTAGTCATACTTAACATGATTTTAAAGAGAGAGTGATTGCATAAAGGGATGGAGGAATAGGAGGAAATTTAGTGAGACTGTAAACTATTTCTGGAGTTAAACCGTTTTTAATGCTGCCCAGTGTTAGCTATGTTCAAAGCTCTGCAGTATATTACACAATCTATGCACACTCTAATTCAGTTTGGGGGAAGGAGAGATGACATTTTATGAGAAACATAAGCAGCAATGCATAGTTGCTACACTGAAAGGAGAGCGCCAATGTGTGATCATATATGTGTCTTCTCCCTAGCACAGCAATAGCTCTTTGCAGTTTGATTTGTATCCTTCTTCCAATAGTTAAAAAGCTAAAACACCAGGCTATGCAAGAAAGCCTTCTCAAAGAACTTTACAAAGCACAACCAGATACCTCTTTTTCTGGCCAGGTATTAATTCCCACGGAGATTGGTGAGAATGGTGAGTCTTTTGCTTTAAAGCCTTTAACTGTGGCCCTTCAAATCAAAAGTCAGCCTCAAGCTTTGCTTTAAGGCAGAAATGCTGCCTCTCTGTGTAGAATGTATAGGCTAAGAGAGAGAGAGAGAGAAAGAATTAGCCTTGCCTTTAAGGCCAAGATAGATTCAGATTACGATACAGATTGGATGTAAATAATTTGGCCACTTGTAACTTTGAATCTGGAATGGCAGTCGTTCACTCTAATTATACAGAGAAACCATATGACTTTATTGGCAACCAGTAGAATTCCAGGTTCTTATTACAAATAAGTGGAGAGAGTGTAACAGATAATAATAATAATACATCTATATTTCCCTAGATGCAAGCTATTCTTTGGAAAGGATTACTTTGGAAAGCTGAAATTACATAAAATATATGTGTATGGAAAAATGTGTTTTCTGGATAGGAGGAAAACAGACAGAAACTCAGACTTTCCAATTGACAAAATTGGGAATCCTAAGTGGAAATGGTAAGGTTGAAACTGTTCAATTAAAATGAAACTTACCCTCCTAAAGTAGTCTGCCAAGTCATTGGGCGACCAGCGGGCCACTTCGGAACGATAGGGTGTGCTTCGTAAATCCATTTCTGTTTCTGGTTAGTCAGTTAGGAAGCAAAACATGTTAACCTTTGGCTGTGACACACTGTAGGATATCTCCCCAGCAGCAACAGAGACAGGAAAAATACAGCAGATCCACAGAATTAATTTAAAATGAAAATTGAACTCCTAGGTTTGGGCTTTCCTTCAAAGTGTGCTGCAACTGAAGACGGCAAAGCTTCCGGTGTGAGTGAACGGTCTCTTTCTCAGAAAACCTGTCATCAAGTAGCTCAGCTTCACCACTTCCTTTTTTGAATCTAAATTCATAAATAAGGAAATAAGGTGGTTCCATTCCATTATTGCAAAAGAAGTCCTGAAAATCATGTTACCCTTGAGAAAAGACATTGTTCTGCTAGGAACCAACACAACTGGGGGAATCAGATGCTTTGTGCAAAAGAAGAATGTAACATATTGAGACTGCAGAATTTTTTTTGAATTCATGATATTTTTTAAAAAAAGAGGGGGGGGGGGAATTCAGATATAAATAGGAAATAAAGAAGCCAGAATTGTTTTCCTCTGTTCCTCTCTCAGAATCATTTGAATGAAATTTATTGTATATGTGAAATAGCATTTCAAAATTTGACACTTGTCTTATAATTAATATAACCATCCTGCTCTGGGTGACAAGACAGTTTGTAAATATCTCTAGTCCTGTTTAGCAAAGTTGAAAGACAGCCAAAGATCAAGCACAAAAAAATAAAGTAAGATAATGCGGAAAGATTATGTTGACCCACTGTATGAAGCCTAGGCTTGTTTATTGAAGCTTTATTGCCACAATTGTGTGGCTTCACAGTAACAATAACAAATAAAACAAATAACACTAAACTAGAAAATTTGATTTGTAAATAAAGATCCTGGATTCAGATAAAACCCAGCTCATTTTCATTCAGTATAATAGATAAGTCTAATCAAAGATGCAAGCACAAGCATGTCTGCCTCACAGATACCATGCTAACATCACACCACTACAAAATGGAAATGCTTGTGAGGGGTGTCGGGAAGGAAGGAAGGAAGGAAGGAAGGAAGGAAGGAAGGAAGGAAGGAAGGAAGGAAGGAAGGAAGGGGAAGAGGAGGAAGATGGCAACCACAATTGTGCAATTGAAGCTCCATTCTCTACTTTTTTTGGATTCATTCCTGCAGATGTCCCTTCAGTTCAACTTCAACTGTTAGTCTTCCAATATCTTTCAAGTACTGTGCAACATGCTATGCAAATGCAAAGTAAAGATGTGGAAAAAATAATAAGAAAGTAGGGGATCAATAAAATCAAGACTGTTCTTTGAGTGTATTATTCGATGAGGCAAAAGTACATCAAAAACAAACTTTATGTAGATCTCATCTAGATTTTTGTTTTCCCAATTACATTAACAACTGGGTTAGCATCTGTTAGAAGTTTGTGCAAGTTATCTTATCTCATCCTATATTACAGTGATGTATATTAAAATAGTATAATAATGTTGTTTAAACATTATAATCACTGTGATGATCTTCTCTTTCGTATCAAGAAATAGAAAAACAAATAGTATGTAGTTGCCTGCATCACCACAAGAGTGCAGCCAAACTCAATTCTTCTCATACATATATAAGACTTGTTCATAATCTGGATGAGGTGGAAGTTAGCAGCATTGCCAAAAGGTGGTAGAAAAATAAAACAGTGTCTTTTAAAAATAGCCTGCAGAGTTATTTAAGGGAATACCCTCTTTACCTTGACCTTGAGTTTTTCCTGTTTGAAAAATAAATGAAAACAAATTGATTAAAAATCTGTCTCCATTTTTCTTTTGTAACTTTTTCTAACGTTACAACTGTTGCATATAATTCTTTGTTCTATGTAGTTCTTAAAGTTAATTATCTAAGGTTTTTTTTTAATTGCAAAATTCTTTGACGTAATTCTTTGTTACATAATATACAGGTGGTTTTTGAAATTGTAGTGAATATTCGTAGCTGGGTTTGTAGATTTAGGCAGAAATTTAACATCTTCCAAGCTTGCTGCTTGGCTCCTGGATGCTTTGTTACCAAACTAGGTAACATCTTCAGTGGGGTTTGGGGTGAAGTGTCTTGTTTGTTTACATAAGTCCTGGGTAATTGGTTGGTCTTATGACCGTTTGAATCACAAGATTGACTGAGTCATAAGACTGATTGAATCACAGGACTGATTCTGGTCTTGTGACTTCTGACTGGTGTCTGTGAGGCAAGAAATTCAACTGGTGAGAGGGTGGTCAGTTCTGTCATTGATTGGTGGCTCAAATGATCCTCTTCCTTATTGGTTCATACATTGGTTCCAAGTCAATATTGGTGTTTGTTGATGGACCCATTGACAGTTGGTAAGTTTTCAACTTACAACCACAATTGAGCCCAAAATTTTCATTGCTAAGCAAGGAAGTTAAGTGAGGTTTGCCCCATTTTACAACCTTTAATGCAGTGGTGGGATTCAGCCGGTTCGCACCAGATCGGCAGAACCGGTAGCTAATTTTAGGTTACCTAGGCCCAGAATGGACTTCCAGAAGCATCCACACAGAGAACCGATTGTTCACATATTTGAATCCCACCACTACTTTAATGGCGTAGTTATTAAGGAAATCACTGCAGTTAAGTGAATCTGAATTTTCCCCCATTGACTTAGCTTGTCAGAAAACATCCGGGAAAATTAGAAATAGTGATCACATGAACCCGGGACAATGGAGCTCTGATAAATACATGCCAGTTACCAAGTGCCCAAATTTTGATCACATGACCATGGGAACACTGCAACAGTCATAAATGTGAAAACCAGTCATACATCACTTTTTCAGTGCTGTTGTAACTTCAAACGGTCACTAAAAGAACAACTGCAATTCGAGGACTACCTATATATTTCCCAGTGTATATTTCTGAAGTATATGCAGTGACAGTGTTTAGAAATAGGTGTTCTTTGAAGTGATCTGCCATAAACAAATTTGTTTTGTGTATGTTTCTTCAGAGAAAAATGGACAGTAGATGCCAATAGGACAGTAGATCAGGTATTGTTGTCTGTTCCATGGCAGGGTACTTGTTTTTTCTTTTTAGTGGCTTTTACAAAACTGACTTGCACAGCCATCTATGATGGCTTTTTTAAGGACTAAGTTAAGTGATGTTCACGCTTTCATGACACATGAAAGTGAACTCTACTCACTTAGTCCTTCTGTATAGTCTTTCCCTCACTGAAGCTGTCTGAAGCCTTTTAAACTTATTGTTTGACCTCTTATTGCAAGCTACAAAGATCTCTGGTTTGAAATGACTAACTCACTATGACACACTAACTCAGATAAGGGATTACCATAGTGTAGTGATGGCAAAACTTTTAGAGACCAAGTGCCCAAAAACCTGCCCCGCTCCCACCTTACACTCCTGCACCACCCCCCACCCTGCTCCACCCCCTGCTCTGCCCACCCGCAGGGCCACACAATGCCTCCACAACCTACCAATCACCTGGGTGGCCCAGCAGTGTCATGGCAGGTACACCCTCTGCCCGCGCCCTGCAGCATCAACTGTGTGCGACAGCGTGCGAGGGTGGAATCTTGTCCCCGCTGCCTGGCTGCCAGGTCCTTGGCTGCGCTTCTCCGTGCGGGCCGTGCTCGGGGGTGACTCTCCTCCAGGGGGGCTGCTGATAGGAGTGGACTGCGGGAGGAGGTGGGGCTGAGGCAATGGTGCACATGCCCACAAAGAGGGCTCTGAGTGCCGCTTCTGGCACGTGTGCCATAGGTTCACCACCACTGCCATAGTGGAATCTGCAAGCAAAAAGCCAAGATGATTATCACATTCAACACAAGTGAAGCCCTGTCCCTTTTGTACATGCATCAATATCACACATATGTTCAAAAGATTAGAATGGCTCTGACCTTGCTAATCTTTCACAAGGACTTAAACACATGATTGTGTTCTTCATCCCATTGCCTTGAGTGTGTGAAGGGTCCCATCTCCTGGTTGTGCTAACAACTATTGATTGTGACATCTTCCTCGGCTGCTGTGTATAAACTGAATAAAATAAAGGAGTGGAGCTTCAATTGCATAGCTGCAACTACCATCTTTACTTTTATTTTTTTTAAACCCTTTGCCACCCCACTGGGTTATTTTTCTTAAAGCCATTCAACACTCTCAAGTTTAGCGGCTTTGTTCTTATTTGTCAATAAAAGAGATCTTCTGATTCACATGCAATTATTTGAGGAGAAAAAATCCTTTAGAAATATAATGTATGCAGAATAGCCAATATATTGTGCACTTTCTAAATCATTAAATGTTGTCCTCACTTTACATAAAGGAAATAAATGTGCTTAAAATAACATTGGGACAGCTTCAGTGAGTAATTAATTTCTAAACCGGGAGTTAAACTTTTATCTAGAACCTACATTCTTTGCACTGAGTCACTCTTAAAATGCAGTCTTGGGGCTTCCAGTTTTGTGTTGTAGTGACACAACTGAGGGTTTTCAAGGCTTCGCACCCCACAGCTGACCCTACCAGGGGAACCTAAATGGGTTTAAAGTCACCCTGGAAGGGCAACAAAGAAGGAGGGCCCCCCATGTATCACAGAAAGATGGCAGTTGATCCGTTTAATCCAGGGAAAGCCCTTCCTGGATCAAACTGACAGGAGAAAGGCTAGCTGTACCTCGGTGACTAGCCCAAGCTATCGGCATCCGAAGTCCAAAAGTATCAACTAGAACAACTGTGAACAGTGTGTTGGAAACTGGGTGAGAATATCGATCTTTTTTTTCTTTTATTTTGCAACTAATTTCCTGGAAAAGATCCCCAAGAAGCAAAAATCCTCTGAAAGTGAGAAGCAAGGGGATCGCCCCACCCTTCCATAGTTGGAAGAAGCTCTAATTTTTATGAGGAAGAGAAATATATTGAAATGGAATTTAATATAAAACTATAGTCCGGATAAATCTGAAAAATGTGGAAATTGTTAACCTTCCCTTTGAAAGAGTATTGAGGAAACTACAAGAAAAAAATTTTTTTTACTTTAAAAATAATAGCTACTGACATCTAGTGGTGGATTAGAGCATAAAATTATAGCTGCCTTGGCTCAGAAACTGATGAGATGCCCAGAAACAGATAACAACCTGCCCCTTTGATCCTCAGTGACTCCCAGCTAAACAGACTAAAGCTGGGAACAGAGGAGAGAAAATATATTGGGCTATCCAGTGCTTTTTTGTAAAAAAAAAAAAAAAAGTGCTAGAACACACACATCATACAGTCCACTTTGCTTACCCTACAAGGTTTATCT